AGCTACCCTACTCCTGTTCATATTGCCTTGTATAAATTTAATCATATTCTCCCAAGCTTTGTCTTAGCCTCAGCAAGGGCATCCCTGAAGGCCTTGCACGCTCCCGACCCGGGCAGGTGATTGGCATTTTTCTGTCCATTTATTATTATTATTATTGTTAATGAAGGGATTCTTCGATCTCTTCTTTAGTAAAACTTCACACTTTCAATAAAATTAATTTTTATTATAACTTTTTGATTTAAGCTAAGCAATACAGAAACTCGCTCACCTATTCGAAATTGTTTCCCTACTGAGTTATAACCGTTCAAGTGTATCAGCCATTTTCGTTGGTCGAGCTATTTCCATACAAGTTATGTTAAATGCAAGATCATGAAAAGTTACATACTACAAAATCTGAAAATGGAAGCCACACAAGTACTAAACACATTATAACTTTTTTGTTTGTGAATAAAGCCTAACCCTTTTATAGAAAGGCCAACGTCGTTTTCTGATAGCTTTAGATTTATAGTATAAAGATAAAAATCTAGGGATGGCATTTTCAAAATTAGTGAAGGTAGATATAAATTAAAACGGTTTTAAAGGCCAAAACTGTTTGATAGCCAATTATAGTCCCGAACGAGACCTTTTCGTCGACATAAAGATTTAAAAAATCGGATATCAAATAAGAAGGTTAAGCCAAAAAGCGCTCACTCAAAATTTTGTCTCGACATAAGTGGCAAACCTCCACTACCATCGCCGTTCGGAGTCGGCGTAAAACTGTAGGTCCTTTTCCTTTGTGTGACAGCATAAAGCCGCACACCACAAATCTGAGGAGAAGCTCGGCCAAACACTAACATATCGTCCTGTTTCTGCCTTAACCTCGTCTCTGCAATAGAGGTATTTTAGAGAGTGTAAGAGAAAATGCTTAATTTCTTCCCTTAGGATACAATAAACGTATTTTTTACTTAATATTTCTAGTTTCACTAACAGAAGTGAGCACCCTCATTAAGTCTTTGTTCTATTTTAAAATAGTTTGTCGCTTAAACAGTNGAAAAAATTGCCATTATTTCGTGTGTGTGCCCAAGGAATTTTGACATTTTTGATACTTCACAGCCTGTTGCCTCACTCTTTCCTCAAGAAATAATGGAACGGGCATATATTTCTGTTGCAAACCTGGGTTGCCCTGTGCTCTTTTTTCACAAAAAAATTTAGAAAACCGTAGTAGAAAGCGTAGTTAATTTATTAAGGTATGCGTACTGCCTTAAGGAAATTTGACTCAAGAAAATTTCTTAGCCATTTCTTGTACGTCATTTTATATGGAGTTTTTGCTCTTCTTGAGAGCTGCATACAGGCCTTAAGGCAGAAAAGGGACGATATGTGTAAGCGCCAAACCATTATTATTAGAAACTCTTATTTTTGAGAGCGCTAACTGAAAAATGAAGACAGATGACTAAAATGTTTCCGACATTATTTTTTTGTAACCGACAACGAAATTTTGATATGAGACTGAAAGAAAAAAACATTCATTTTATTTGACACAGTCTAATACGCATGTATGTACATATGTATATTTTTTCTTCAAAGACCTACAGTATCGGTCATATCTATAGCACGCCATTTCAAAGTGATATTGTGTGCCACTTATGTTTATTTATTTATTTTTAAGAATTTTCAATTAAAATATAGTTCTTTCTCTAACAAAACCCATATAAACCCAAGTTTAACAATTTGTAGAAAACTACAAAAAAGTGCAACAAATTTTCATCTAAATTTCAAACTTTTTTTCTTCTTAATTCTTAAAAACCTTATTCTTAAAATAAATAAATAAACAAAAGTGGCACACACTATCACTTTGAAATGGCGTGCTATAGATATGGCCGATAATGTATAATCGAAATTTTTTGCATAACAAATAATAAAGATATATAATAAATAATACTCATAAATAATACGGAGTATTTCTTAAGAGCGTGGTTAAGATTACTTTTATTAAGGGTTTTTGTTTTTTTATGGTTTTTTGGAATCAAAGCACGCTGTTATATGTAGTTAAACTGACTTATTGCAACTAAATGTTATACGATTTTATAACTTTTTTTTTTTTGCTGAGGCGTAACAAAACGCTAATACTGTGTTGCATGTTGCCGAGGCCTTAGTACGGTCGTTTTCTAATTTTTACATTATTTCCGACTAAGAGATTTATAAATTTCAGAAATCGTGTTGTGTCATGCTCAGATATTCCTAAAGTTGATGTGGCGAAATGGATTGATCAGAAACCATTGGTGCAAGCAAATAACGTTTTAAACGTAGTTCCACTCCATTATGGGAATTAATTTAAAACTTAGGCCCAGTTTTTCAGTGCCACTGTAAACTTAGATCACGCAAACTGCGTTTAAATTGAACAGGTGGCTGACATTTAATTGCCTACGATTAGTTTAAACCAGCCAACTCGCGCGTTTAAACTATGTTCAAACCAAAGCCACGCACTTAAAAACTGGCCCTTAGTATGCCAGGCTAAGTACATATACAACTTATTGGAGAAATTAATTTCCACTAGAAAAAGCGTTTTTATTAGTTACACTGTATTCATACATATATACATACATATAAATACATATATAATGGAAATATATTTTAATCTTACAACTTGTGGTAATTAAAATAAATTATTTAAAAATTTATTTCCACTACATACCCAGATGTTCTTTTTAGAATAAATACCAATTGAGCAGTTTTGCGTCTTTTTTTTCAAATATATTTTCGAAATTTACCAGAATTTTTACATAAGAAATCATACGTAGATTAATCCATTGTGTTTCGATTTGTATTATTTATTATTGCTTTAATCATAACAAATTTAGTACTTTATAGAACATTTTAAATCAGCGAAAGAAATATTAAAAAACTCAAAAACTTCTTCTGTATTCTTTATACTTAAACAAATAGTGTATGGCCTAATAACTTTGCATACATTGTAGGGCCAGGCCAGTTGCAGCTCTCAAGAAAACGGTCAAGAAAAAAAATTGGCATTATTTCGTGTGTTTCCTCAAGAAATAATGGGTATATATTTACGTTGCAAACATGGTTGCCTTGCGCTTTTAAAAAAAAAAAATTGATACAAGAAAATTTCTTAGCCATTTCTTGTACGTTAAAACTGTAATTTTGTATGCACTTTTTAAGTATATTGAATGTACTTCATTACTCAGAAATTAGCAGAACTTATAAAACTTAGCGATCTGTTGAGTTTAGATTTTGCTTTACATTTTCTTAAGTGATGTTCAATTGCAGTGGTACAAATGGTTGTGCGAAGTTATGCAAAGTATGCATAATCAGACCTTTAGGATGGCACTATTCTGCATATTGCTCACAACTCCATTATTTAAATAAATTTTACCATATTTGTGTAATTTCTTTTATATGCACTACGCATAGATTTCTTTTATGTATACAAAAACAAAGGGTGTAAAACATAATCCAGACAATCAAAATCCAGACATTCAAAATGCGGCCAGTCAAAATACAGACAAATCAAAATCCAGACAAATCAAAATACAGACAAATCAAAATACA